CCTCTGAGGGGGCTGCATGCCTGGGGCTTCACTGCCGGGAGCTGCACACATAGGGGCCACACACCAGGGACGCATGAACAGAGAGTCCACATTTGGGGAGCTGAACAAATGGTGAGCCACATACCCGGAACTGATACTCGGGGAGCTGTGGGCCTAGGAATCTGCATGCCTGACTGTGCCCATCATGACCTAGGCTATCAGAGGTCTGCTGTGTACTGGTCTCTTCTCTCATCAGGCTGTCTGGGGCAGAATGACCTCATGTCAAATGTCAAGCCAACATCTGCACATACCATGTTTACCTCCTGTTGGGCCCAGGGCCCAGGGCCCAAAACCCTGTCGGCCACAAACTAGCCCAGTGGAAGCCAGGGTACTGCCGTTGGTCACCATCTTCCCATTCCTGAGCCGGTCAGTCCCCGTTCCTTCTTTAGCAGAGGTCTAGAATGGAACAACCCTTTCATGGGGTGACCAAAGACTGCTGCATGGAACAGGAAGCTGCTCAGGTGCACATTCTAGAGCATCTGACGGGGCCAGGAGCCTTTGTCCTTCCAAGAACCCAGCCCACAGTGCCCCTGGGCTCTATAGCACGCAGAGGCAGAACAGCCCCTTCTCCTTGGAGAAGCACCAGCTCCCAATAGCCTTCGAGCAGGTGTGGCAGGCTCCTTATGGTAAAGACTTCCATGATCAGTGCTTACGGTCAGGAGTGTGGAAGACCCTAATGTCCTTCTAGAGCCCCCAACACCCAAGACTTTGCCTGTGGCCTTACAGTGCCTTGCACATGTGTTTAGGGTGGGCTGACCCTGCCCCCAAGACTGACCAGATCCTTCCTTGCAACAGCTGACAATACACTGTGGTTCTGTGGCATGGGTGTGGTCTGAGCATCCCTCAAGGACCCCGTTGTGACTACTGGGCAATAAGAGCTCCTCGGGTCACTGGGGATGTTAGGCCATGCTCTTGCAACCCCTGGGTCCTTCCGAGGGGGTTGTTACAACCGTGTCACCCACGTCTCTGCTTCCTGGAGAAGTGGTGGAAGTGGCCATGCTCCTCTCAGTCCTGACTACCATCCACCATGGCGTCCTCACCAAGACTTTGAACCTCCAGACTGTGAGTGAATAAACCTTTTTATAAAGTTAACTACCTTGGCTATTTCATTATAGCAATAAAGAGTATTCTGGTTTCCAAAATAAAGAGGAAGCCACAGAAAGGTCTCAATTTGTGACTGAAACAGTAACCTTACGCAAATTTGGAAGATGGGATGTTTTGGCATCAACACCTCCTGCCAGCAGTGGGCATAAATGCTTAACTGACACAACAAACAGAATTTGAAATGATAGGCAGAGAAATCCCAGGAACCCAAGCCAGTATTAGAGGCTTCAGAACATCAAAACAAGCCAAGAAAACAGCACATAGCCAGGAGCTCTGCAACTCAGCCAGTCCTGCTGTGGATAAGCCTGTCACGCATCAGCCTTCGAGACCATCTGCTGGGAGAAACCTGAGAGGGTAGGGGGTGACTATCACAGGGGCCCAGGCACTCTGAGCGATGATACCTCCTGGAGAACAAAGGCATGGCTCGGGTGAGGACCTCTGGGTAGTAGAGGCCACCCCATAGGCAGGCAGGTGAGTCTGGTGGCCCTGAAAACAAGCCCAGCAGAGTGGCTATCTGATCCCTTCCATGACTCGGAGGATCTGTGAGGATATAGGCTGATTGCTGGGGTGGGTCAAAGACCTGCAGCGTCTACCACCCAGCTTCTGCACAGCTGCCCACAGTCAGAGGGGGACTGTCCAAGCAGTCAGGTCACACCTGATCCCTGGCTAAGGTGACCCCAGGTCTGGAGCGATCACCTGCTGCTTGTCCTAGCTACCCCCAGTCCCCTCAGGATTAGTCTGCTCTGACCAATACACACACAGAGGCATGCACACACATGTGCACATATACACATGCATACACATATACACAAGATGGGGTGTGTGCAACACATACTCGGCACCTGTCCCAGGGCTTTGCATGGGTGGTTCTACCTTCTCCCGAGGAAATTCTCAGCTCCTCAATTTGCGATTGTTCTGGGCAGATTGTAGCTCACTTCTCATTCTTCGGACACCCCGGCTGTGCTTGGGCATTTGGACTTTCTCCAAAGTACCCATCGCCTTCTAAAGAATACATAGTGTCTGTTGTGTGTATAGCATGATGTGTCTATAGGCTGGCTGGAAACTTTTTTTTCACCTTGTACAGTGCCTGGCATACAGTTGGCATTCAATGAGTGTTTACTGGATAATAAGTGGTACCAGGAGGCATCAACTAATGCCACCTGTGGCCAGGACGCATAGGAACTTCTGACGGGCTGGCCACCCTAACAGCCTCACACAGCTCTGAGGCGTACCAGCCATGGCATGCTCAATGGGTGTCATCTTGTCATCCCAAGACCATTAGGTGGCCCTTTATAGGCAGAAGCTGGAGGTCATAATTCCTGAAGGCTATGCACAAAGCAGGTAGGTAAGGACTTTGGGTCCCAGGAGGTCCCAGTGGGGACCAAAGCTGAGCTGAGTGTGACCCTGGGGGGTGATCATTTGTGCCAGAAATGACTTTAATCAGCAGCACATTAGATGGGTGCATGTGATAACAATTTAATGACTGTTACAGAGATAATCCATTCTGTTCTCAGCTGGTTCCCGAGGTAATTACATTTCTGTTTTGTTTAATTCATAACTTGATCATTTATTCCAAGTTGTGATGGCCTTGGACCACAGGCTCTTGGGAACGTCTACGGAAAGAGCCCAGACTGAGTGCTTCTTCCTAGTGAGCCTCTCTCTCAATCTGTCTCTCTTTCTCTGTCTGTCTCTGTCTCTGTTTATCTCTGTCTCTCTCTGTTTATCTCTTTGTCTCTCTGTCTCTGTTTATCTCTTTCTGTCTCTTTCTCTGTCTCTCCCTGGCTAGGCACCACCGTGCTATGGTAGTGGTGAGGATGGGTCCCAGCCCCGGTAGTACAACATCATATGCTCCCTCACACATGGTCCCACATTTCCTAAGCACACTGTCATCCTCTAATGCAGGAACTCACAGGCTCCAGAGGAGTACCTGGGCAATTTACTCATGCCTCAGTTTCCCCACTTCCAGAAAAGAGCTGATACCATAGTCTCGGCTTCACTGTGCATATTTTATTAAATAACCAAAGTCATCCTCATCCTCATTTGGCAGGAGAAGAAATGCCTCAGAAAGCAGTGAGCCTGGGGTGGCCACACAGCACCAGAAAAAGCCCGCAGGGCCACACAGCTTCTTCCTGACACCTCAGTCTCCCCAGACCCTGTATCTACTGTCCGAGTGTCCCCAAGGCTTGAAGACCAACACTACCACCATGTGCTGGATCCCTTTAGTTGTCAACTTGACACACCGAGGTAGAGAGAGCCTCAACTGGGGAATTGTTTCCATTGGACTGACCTGTGGTCATGTCTGTGGGGCATTTTCTTGATTGTGGAGTGGCAGCACCACCCCTGGGCAGGTTCTTCTGTGTTGTATAAGAAAGCAGGCTGAGCATGGACCAGGGGGGGCAAGCCAGTGAGCAGCACCCCTTCATGTCCTGTGTTTCAGCTCCTGACTCCAGGTTCATGCCCTGAGTTCCTATGTCGGGCTCCCTAAGAAATGGACTGTGACCCTGGAGATGTAAGCTAAATAAACCCTTTCCTCCCCAAGTTGGTATGGGTCAGAGTGTTTTGTCATAGCAATTGAAGGTAAACTAGAACACACCAGATTAAGGGTGACCTACCACCCCCACACCCCTTTGGGAGAGTCTCTGTGACCCCAAGCCCCCGGACTCTCACTGAAGCTGGGTCTGCCGATGCTCACTCTGTACACCAGATCTGTACAGAACCCCACCCTGTACCCAGATCTCCTGAGCATGCTGGAGGCCCACCCCCATCATTTAGTTCCAGGAGAGCAGTTGAGGGCCTCGTGGTGATTAACTGGCAGCAGTCCAACTGCTGGGCAATTACCACACCTGGAAATCACTAATTAGCCTGATTATCCCCAGGTCCCAGCCTCACCCCAAGGCCAGGTGAATGTGGATTGCAGCTAATGACCAACCAGGAAACACAAGGGCAACAGCTGTGGATCTCCCACTCTCCCCAAGGCTCAGCCCAAAGCAGGCATAGTCCTGCAGAGTCCGGAGGGGCAAATGGCGGCAGGTAGCTCGTGGACAGCCCTTTGGTCTCATCCATGATGTTGATGCAAACCAGGACCTGTCAGAGCAGGGGGTGAGAGGAGGAGAGAGGAGGGGGCTGGCAGAGGGAGGGAGGCCGTGGGGGAGGGGTGGCGGGGGGGGGTCACCAACTGAGAAGGACTCTGGGGCAGCTCAGAGCACGCGGCTTTGCTCCCTTCCATTCCGTCTGGGGCAGTGGGGCGGAGGGCAGGGTCATTTTCTTGTTTTGTCTTGTTTGTTCTTAAGAAGAAAAAAGAGTTTAGAAAGCTGTACCACACGGTTTGTGACTTACAGATATTTATCCTCTAATTGGATTTTGACCAGGGCCGACATGGACGCCCTGAGCGCGCATTCCAAATGCCTGTGCTGGAGGAAGTGCGATTCCTTCCCCGGAAAGAGGTGGAGGCTCAGCCTTCACACTAGCTCCAGGTTCCAGGGGAGGATCTTCTCCTCCAGGAGTCAGAGACCCGCCTCCCTTCCGGCGGCCCTCCTTACCCCCTCCGGTGTCCCCTGGTCCCCCGCTTCTCCTCCCCTTTCCCCGTTCTCTACAGCTCTCCGTCCTCCCCTCCTCCTCGGTCCCTCCTCCTCCCTCCCTGTCCCCACCCCCTCTCACCCGCCCCTTTTTCCGGCCTCACAGCCTTCCTCTCCTCCTCTCTCTTCCCGTCCCCTCCCCTCCCCCCTCCTTCCTCCCCGGCCTCACAGCCTTCCCCTCCTCCTCTTCCCCTCCTTCTCCCTACCCCTTCTCTCTTCCTCTTCCTCCTACTCCCCCCTTTTCTACTTACTTCCTTCCTTCCTTTCCCCTCTGAGGTGCAGTTGTCAGCTCGCCAGCCCCCAAGGCCTCTCTCAGGCCTCTGAGCTAGGAAATTAGGAAGAGAGCTGGGTGGGGAGCTCTTCCTTCTGGGGGTGGCCTATTCCTGGACCCAAAGCCTCAATGAATGGCTGGGTGATCTTGGTCCTCACATCTGGTTAGAGCTGGCTCTGACCTAGAGCAGAGCCGCCCACAGACACTTCCTGGGGAAAACGAGCTGGCGTCTCTATAAATCTCCTGCACCCCTGTGCCAGCTTCCCGGCCAGGATGACAGGTGATGGCTAAATAGCTATTCACAAGGCATTATCTCCAAGCACCAGCTCAAATTGAGAGCCTTTTTCCCTACGCAGCTGAGACAGGCGTGTCCCTCTGTTTGCCAAGGACAACAGCCGACTGTGGAGAGGCATGGAGTCTATTACCCCACTAATGTGACAGTTGTGACTGAACGTCATGTTCTAGAGCTCTGGAATGAGGAAAACAGCGTTGCTCGGAAGACAGACAGGGAGACACTGGTGAGGAGGGGGGTGGGGAAGGAGACACTGGTCGGGGGGCATGGAAAGGGAAGGAGGCCTCTGGGTGTAAAGGACACATCTCTGCCCCACCCCTCCACTGAAGGAACGTTTGCCATGTGGTTGCCATGAACCAGGAAGGGCTGCGAGGGGAGGCAACATCCAGAGGCCTTGCCCTGCTGTCCTGCCTACACCTCCCCACCAGGATCCTTTGCTCCCCTCTCCACTGGGCATTAGGTTTTATCAGTGTGTTTCTACCTGTGAGCCATAGCCAGCAAGCCTACCTCATGCAATCCTGACCCTGTGTACTCCTAACCCTCACACCTCTTACCACATGTCCCCAACTCCTCTTTCTCCTGACCCTGCACACTCCTGACTCTGCTCATCCTTGATCCTCACTTACTTTTGACCCCCACTAAACCTTAACCCTACTCACCTCTGGCACTGCTCATCCCTGACCCCACTCACCCCTGTCCCCAATCATCCTTGGGTCCACTCCCCCCGTCCCCACTCACCCCTATCCCTGCTCACCCCGACACAAGCTCATCCCTGACACTGCCCACCCCTGACTCACCCCTAATACTAATTACTCCTGATCCTGTCCACCCCTCACCCCACTCTCCCTGGCCGCACTCTCTACTGTCCCCACTCATCCCTGACCCCTGGCTCTCCCAGGCCCCAGGCAGAGCTCAGTCTCTACAAACTGAGATCAGTTCTATTTTCTGGGTTTCTGGTACTCATGGTGGACACTGGAGGCTCCTGCGCGGAAACAGAATCAGCTTTGGCTTCGAAGGAAAGTTGAAGGTACTGAACCTTCGATTTGGCACAGGCAGGACTCCAACTTGTGGAGGTTGACCCCAGGGGCCCAGGGAGGAGGTGGCAGTAGTGGCCCCTGCCCTGACATAGCCCTGCTCCAGCTATGTGGGCAACAGCTTGCTATGTGGGCAGTACCATGATCCTGGCCACACAGAGGTGCCTCACTCACATGGAACCCACAGGCATGGTGGGGGCTTCAGGGTTTGAGGCCAGCTGGGTGCCTGGCTGGCAGGAAGGGACCCAAACTTTGTGAACCACTCATTATGTCCTTCAGAGAAGCTGCATTAGTACCTGTGGACAGGAGCCCACATCAGTGCTGACGTCTGGAGAACCAGATCCAGCACAGAAGCTCCTGAAATTAATCATCCAGCAAGCCACGGTGGTGACCCCCGGTCATCCCAGCACTTGGCGAAGGTTACAGCAAAGCTCTGATCTCTGCCCTCGTCTTTCCCCACACAGATGGAGTGGGAGCTTTAGGGACTCAGACCAGGCCTTCTGTCATCCCTCCTCATTAAGGTGCCTCTTGCCCCTGTCGCCTGGACAACATGCTGTCCTTCACTATCCCTCCTTCCTCCATCGTATATGGGTTTGTGTGAAAGCTGGAACTGGCAGAGTTCATCATCTTATGCCCCCAGGAAGCCAGCCACCCAGGGGGACACCCTCAGGATTGCTGGGCAGTAATCCCATAACCTCCTCTGCTGGGTGAGTGGTGGGTCCCTGTCTGGTCCCAGTCCCAGTAGGACCAAGTGAGCTGGTGCCCAGCACCTTGGTCACCCAAGTGACCTTTCTCTGTCCCACACTCACCCCCTCCTGGTACCAACTCTTCCCAAACACTCTGTGTTCTCAGCCTCCACAAAATGATCTGGAAGATGATAGCCATGCCTAAAACCCCATAGAGGCTGAGGAATCAAGGCCACTATGTGCACAAAACAGGGACCTTGATGAGCAGAGGGGATCCTGACTGTTGGCACCCCAAGGCCTGTGTCCTCACTGGCCAGAGGATACCAGAGCTTGGAAGCTGCAGAAGTGGAAAATAAGGCTTGCCTGCCTGCCTGCCTGCCTGCCTGCCTGCCTGCCTGCCTGCCTGTGGAGGGACTGGGTCTGAGGGAAGCACCTGACCTACAGGGATGACGGCTGAATCAGCATGTGCGGTCCTCACTTCTCACTTCACTCACTCCTGACCCTGTTCACCCCGACCCTGCCTACCCTGACCGCACCACCTCCATGCCTTCATTCCTTTGCCAGCATCCCTTGGCTCCAGTCCCTGCTCTATGTCTATGCCCTGGTAGGAACCCTCCATAGATTCATGACAAAATACAGTGGTAGTCTCTGCTTAAATTACTCCTGGGTGCCCAAAGTGATAACAGACCTGCTCTCCCCAGGGCTGCCCTCCCTGCCCCATCTCACCTCCCTGTCCCTGGGGTGCTTCCCGGGCCTCATTCCAATGAACTGCCCATATCTAACTCTGTCCCATGTCTGTCTTAGGGCCATGGGAAGACAGACAATCCCTCCTGGGTTCTGTGGGGTCTCATAATTCCCAGGATCAATGTCACTCAACCACCTCCAGGGAGGAAACAGCTTAAGACAGCACAGCCTGGTGACCTGCCCCCTCCCTGCTCAGGGCGGGCTAGAATCCCATCAGGAAAGCAAAGGTACAGAAACGCTCACCTAACCACGCCACTGCATACAGCCCCAGGCAAGAACCAGTCTTTCCTTCTTATCGTTCAGCTTTACCATTTATCTCACAGCAAGATGGTCTGTGGGGGACATTAACATTCATGTACACAGCGGTGAGGCAGCAGATGCTTCTGAGATGATTCCTTAGTGATGAGAAGGCAACGCCCTACCGGCTTCCAATTCTACGACTGGATGATTCACACCATCCGTGGCAGAGAAAGCGGCTTGTTTTGCTTTACTGTCTTCTTGACTTTGCAGCGGACCCTGGGAGCCTCTGCCTCCTCCAGTAGTTTCCAGCTCACAGCTAATCTTACTGTGCCCCCTCATCAGCTGGTGGCCCTTCCTCTTTATGGACAAAGTCGAGACTCTTCAGAGGATCAGCAGGCTCTCGTGGTGGCATCCCAGTGATGCCCATCAGCGCTGATGAAGCAGTACCTGCTGAGGCTGGATCCTGAGCTGCCAAGCTTTCGGGGAGGACCAAGCCCCACAGATCCCAGACTGAGAAGGACCTGCTGTTGTGTGAGTTTTCCTGGAGAGACATGAACAAATGTCTGTTCACCCCAGACAGGGCATGGAGGACAGACTAAAGAAACAATTCCACCCATTGAGCTTAGCCAACCAGTGAGTGTATTGGGGTTACTTACAGGAGAATGTGTGATTCAAAGGCAACTATCACCAAAAAGCCCACCGACGATGGGTGACTGTGTTACCTACTTTTTGTTGCTATGATAACACACCATGACCAAAAATGATTTACAGGGCTTGAGTTCCAGAGGGGGAGTTTGAAATGCTGGAAGGCATGGCAGTAGAGGCTGGAGCAGGAAGCTAAGAGGTCACATGGTCAACCACAAACAGAAGTAGAAACAACAAAGGAGTAATGGGGCTCTACATCCTCAAAGCACCCCCCCTACTTCCTCCAGCAAGGCTGCACCTTCTTAAAGTTCTGTAACTTCCACAAACAGCACCACCAACTGGGAACCAAGTGTTCAAACACCTGACCCTATGGGGGGAGCATTTCTCATTCAAACCACCGGTGACCACTCCTAAAAGCTGCGTCCCCAGAATTTGCTTAGACAACTTGCAGACAGCTCTGCCCTTTCCAAGGGGCTCCTCTCAGGAGCAATAGCTACAGCTTATGTGAACTGGAGGAGGGGCCTTATGAGTCAAATTTCAGGAGCTTCCTGAGTGTTCTAAGCTTTGATTACTTTCTGAGTCTTGGACCCTCCTGCATCCCTCCAGGGGTTTCAATTCTAAGTCATCACTTGTAAATACCTGTACTCTGGCCTCAGGACTGTTCAGTAGGAACATGTGGACAGGACCAGGAGACAAAGCAGGAATGCTCCAGCTGCAGCAGGTCTGCAGGCTCACATGCTTGAGTGCTTGGTCTCTGATGGTGGTGCTGCCTGGGGAAGTTGTGGAACCTTTGGCTAGTAGGGTCCAGCAGACATAGGCCACTAGTGGCAGGCCCTGAGGACTCTAGCTCTGCCCTCCTGGTCTCATCTTTGCTCCCTGGTGGTTGGCATGGGGAGACTGGTCCCTGCCATCTTGGTAGACTGTATCCCCTGAACTATGAACCCAAATAAACCCTTCCTCCTTTAAGTTCTTCCTGTCAGATGTTTGGTGACAGAAATAAGAAAAGTTAATTAGTGCAGTCCCCAAACTTCTTAAGAAACACGCTTGTGCAAGTGGTGGCCCGCTGTTGGTAAGCTGAAGGAGGGCACCCCAGGAAGAAGTGAATCACCCCCACTCGGCTCCCACCCACCCGAAGCTGCTCAGGAACAAATATCTCAATCATCAGGCCCTGGAATTCCTGGAAGGGGAGCCATGCATGCATGACACTTCCCCAGCTCATCAAGGAGCACAGACCACGGGCTCCTCCCGCTGCTCCTGCTGTCATTCACATGCTAGAAGTCTCAGGCATCACCACAGTGCCCATCTATGCACACAGCCACCATGTCTGGTGGGAGCCAGGGGAACCAGAGCCAGACCAGCTTGAGGAAACATGGGAGCAGGGCAGGCCGTAGGCGCCACAGGACTTGGGGCTTATCAAAGCTCCAGGCCTCTTGTACCACCCCAGCACCCTGGGCTACTAGAATCTACTTGTCAACCAGTGAGGGTGAACTGTCCATCTAGCAAGCACAGCAGAAGGATTTCACATGTCTGTCTTGTACTGTGCCTGTGAATCTGGACTACCCCAGAGGCCTTGGAGGAAAGGAGGAAAGTGCCAGTCTACTCCAAGCCCTGCAGGACAGGAGCTCAGGAATGGAGACCTTGGGACCCCATAGAAGGAGTAGGGCAGGTCTCAAAACGAACAGACACCCCCTTCTGATCTGAGCACAGCGGTCCCCAGCAGAACAGAGCTTATGGCCTGTGGTGAAGGTTGACAAAGGATTAGCTTGACTGCTCCTTGAGGGTAAGGTGCTAAACAAAAGTGGCATCTAGAAAGAGATGATGGAACCAGACTGAGATTCCAGAAAGACTGATTAGTCATTGTGAGCCACCAAGATGGCTTAGAGGGTAAAGATGCTTGCTGCCAAGCCTAACCATCTGAGTTCAATCCCTGGAACCCACATAGGGAAAGGACCGAGAACTGATTCCCAAAAGGTGTCCTCTGACCTTCACACATACATGCTGCAGCATGTGCATGCGCGCACACACATACACACACACACACACACACACAATAGATAAAATAAATTTTAAAGAACAGTCTGTAATGTCCAGCAGCCTAGAGCCTCTTCCTCCCTCCATTCCTCCCCCTCCCCCTCTCTCTTTTGTGTGTGTGATGTGTACACACACTGGAAATTGAACTTAAGGCTTTGTGCATGGCTTTTGTAAAGGAAGAACAGAGTAACTCATCGCTTCTCTTTGTCATTGAGTTCATTATAAATGGATGTACACTTAAAACATCATGTTGAATGTGTGCATGCAAACGGGGCTGTGGGGGGTGGGGGGTGCAGGGGGGTGTGTTTCCCACCATTGTGATGATAATGGTGTTTGAATCTCTCAAGCAAGTCCTGATTTTGTTTTAACTGCTCTTTTATTTGGGAACACATTTTTCTTACGCAAACTAATGTTCCTTTTTCCCTTCACGGTGATATTTTTAAGAACCAGATTGCAGAGTTGTGAGGTGCAGAACCATTCGGGTGTGTTCAGAGAGATTTCTGAGGGAAACAGGCAGCCAGCACCCTGTGCCAGCATCTGCTGCTCCCCACAGGGATGGAGGGGGCAATGAAGTCTGACAACCCCTAGCTTTTAGGAGAGGCCCCTGCTACAGGGTAAGGGGACTTCCCAGGACTGGAACCAAGGTGTGTCTACCTTGCCCCTGGGCACTGGAAGCAGCTTCTTACACTCCCTGCATTTGTAGCTTGACAGACGGATAGATGGGCAGACACCGTGAAGAAGCTCCTGCTGGCTTCAGTCACCCAGTCAGGGGGCATTCGTCATGACATGAAGAGCTCTCAACAGCTCTGCCGGAGACTCCTCTGAGCCTGTTACTGGAGGGGCATTTTCCGTGATGCTATGCCCAGGTTCTTTATGTCTTGAACAAAGAGTTGAGCAAGACACAGAAAAGCAGTAGCAAAGGCAGAGATTGATCAAAAGTGAAATCAGAAAGTACACTTCACAGGGCAGGAGTGGGCTCCAGGCAGGGGGCTCAAGAGCTCATTTCTGGGTTCAGGGGCTTTGATTCCATAAGGGAAGAGTGAGTCCATGAATGGGTGGGACCTTTCTTTGGCTGACGTAACTGATTGACATCCCAAGTCATATCTCATGTTTATGAAGCATGCACCTTCCCATGATCATCTTTGATACACTCATGTGCATGAGAGGCAGTCCGTATGCATTAGTCCTTAAATGGTTTGTGATATCACAAAGGCCACCAGGACAATCTTTCTCTTAGTGCGCATGTGTGTGTCTAGGGGAGCCCACCCCAGGTTTTACTTTCCAGCTGTGGTTGGATTTGTCGGAAGGGGTTTGTACAATCCAAAGGGTGATCTGGAAAAATCCAAGGGGTGTTCTTTTTCAGTTCCTAGGTCCCAAGATTGACCTGTCTATGACTCAGTCAAGCACATTTAACCCTACCTTACTGCTTCAAGCCCATTCTGGCTGATGTGTACTGACCTATCCCCATTGGTCTAAATATTTGGAGTTTGTATCCTGAGCCATCTTGATCCTCTGAGACTACGGTTCTTCTTTCTATGGATGGTTGGTTGGTTGGATCTTAAACTATAGTCCAGGTTGGCCCTGAACTACTGACAATCCTCCTGCCTCAGCCTCTCAAGAGCTGGAGTTATAGGTGTGAGTCACTATACTAGGCTTCTGTTTGGGTTTGTTTGTTTTGTTTTTTTGGTTTTTTGGTTTTTTTTTAGTCT